GACCTACCTGGGTGGGCGGTACTTACCTTGAGGTCACCTGTGTGCATGAAGGTGAATTCTTATCTTCGAGATGGCGAGGCAATCATCCGTCAATCCGTGGATCGGCTTTAGTCGGTGGTAACCTATGTGGCTGATCGTCGATGTGCGTAAGTGGCTTTCAGTAGGTGTATTGAGAGCATACTGTATATAATGTGAATCTATTTCGACGAGGGATCAGATGTAGTGCTGAAGGTGGTAGCATGAAGTGATGCGTCGGTGGGAGTGGAGAGAGTTTTGGTTATTGTGTCCGTGGTGGTCGCTGTTTTGGACAGTGAAGGGGTCGTAGTAGGGAGGATGATGTGGATGGGGTGTAGGCATCGGGTAGTTGAAAGTCCGTGGTGAGGATGACCGTCGACGAATTGCTGAACACAGGAGAGACTGTTGAAGCGCTTGATGCCATCGAATTTGATGTCATCGGAGGGACGGTGCACTGCGTCCGCAGATGACTTACCAAACCAATACGGGCACGTAAGGCGCGTTGACAATGCGGCTACGTTGGAAGGGTTTGGATATTGATAGCGTTCACCCGCCCATCGAGTTTGGAAATTGCAGGCCTTTCTTTTCGCCTTGGCGGCGGAAATTCACCTTGCTCCGTATATAGTCACACCAGATTTCACTGTTTTTTGTCAACCAGATCGATCCTGCGCGAGTTCGTCCCAGGTCGCCGTGCTGATCTGGAGGCGCTCCAGGAGGTTTTTCTGAGTGTCCTTTTAGCGCCTCTTCTGTCTCCCTTTGCGGAGAGCATTCACGGTGACATCGCCATGGAACACATGCTTGGGTACTCGTCAGTTGTTCATGCGCAATACACTGACTGTGGATCCTTCATCGTCTAGGTCCGCACCGAGATTTCACTAACCTAACCTTTGGCAGTTTTATGAATGTCATCAAAAGGTTAGTGGACGTCAGTAGGAGGACTGCTCTTAGCTCACTTCACCTCTGTGGGAATGGAGCTAGGCAATGTGGTTGCAGAATAGGTGCCAGGCCACGGGTATGGTATGTTGCCGGAAGCCAAACCACAACCGGTACTGATAGATCGCAGTTGTTGAATTATGTATATCCGGTGGCCTACGACTTATGCGTAGAGCGTACGCCTTTTTGGAACAGTCAGTATAGTTTTCTATTAAGGAACCCCGTGTCCACTTATGTATAATTTTAGCTTTTGGAGTTCTTGAAGGCCCATGGCGTCGCTTCGCCGATTTGCTTAGATTTAAGCCGGCAATAACTCCATCAATTAGTCCATTTAAAAATATAAAAAGTCGGTAATAGGCATCCGTATGATTTATTATCAACAATATGCAGTTATTCTCTTATCCGTTTTTCAGAAATGCGGAGGTGGGCCTGCGAGTTATGTGCCAAGTGTTTTTCCACAAAGGGAACCCTGCAAATACACATCGATTGTGTCCATAAGCGTACGTCCGTCCTCTCCTATCTTCTTTTTCACAATGTCTTCAGGATCATTTCGCTTGAGAACTTCAGTGCTGATACTTTTACTGGGTTTTTTAATTTCCTCGCAATTTATGCGGGTCTTGACTCTAATGAGGATCATGAGGGGAATTCGAAACCTCAGGCCGCTGACGTGCTCCTTGGAGCGATCGTATCTTGTACCGGTGTACATTGCAATTGCAAGGAGCTTCAACTTATCAGTGGGTTCCCCAAAGTGCCCTATAGCCTTTCCGGTGGATAGGTCTTTTTGAGGTTCAGCCTCATAATCTCCTTAGACAGAGTCGTCCTTTTTTATCTACTGGAAAATAATGAAGTAATATTCAAAAACTGCAAACAGGCAGGCATCAGCTTAAAAAATACTATCTTATTTACCGTACCGACAGTATAATAAGCGTTTCGGCATCTCCGTCGCCCGCCAGCTCACATCTTCAATGCACGCAAGCCTATGTCGAGTAAAGGACCCCCTACCCTTAGGACAAATAAATAACGTCAGTTACCTCATACCGTGCACCAGTTGCCCTTGTGTTTATATTGGCCAAACAGGCCGACGTCTCGAGACTCGCATCAATGGAACATAATTTAGCCGTTTGCCCACCGA